GAAATCTTAATTTCCATTAATAAAAAGTAATGAGTAAATAAAGATTTATAGATTAAAATTCCTTGAAAAATATTAATATTATACTTAAGCAACTTGTGGTATTTTGATATTAGACTGAAGTATAAGCTAAGTAGTTACGTCAAAATAGCATATCAAAGGTGAACGTACTACATCTTTCGGACTGAGAGAGATCCAGCAACGTCGAAAGCATAGTTTTAGTGTCCGATTATGAGAAATAATTTCTTGATTATTTATTATCTAAAACGTCGTATATTAAAATGTTATTACATCTAAACTGCTTGCTTTTATATTAAAAATTGATTTATAAGCAATTAATCATATTTGTTGAGATATTACACAAGTTATGACGTAAAGAGAATATTTTTATATTTTATACTACACTGCAGTACTTGAACCACTCTTTAATTAATAATGTAAGTAATAAGCAGGTTTGTTAAAACTGCCATCTACCGACTTCAAATATAAACAGTTAGAAACTGATATACAACTGATTTACGTGCTCGTGCGCATTTGTATAGATCACCTCATTTAAAAGCTTTAAATGAGTGCTGTAGATGGCAGCATTGTTCAATTAAAGTAATAAATTTTTATTTTTATAGTTACTTACTCAGCTTAGGATTCGATGCCTTAAAAAAATTTTATCCATGGAGTCGCTCCACATGGAAGAAATGAAAATTCATAATTCATAATGTTGGAATGAAAACGGGAAGGGGTAGAAATTGATTTTTAAGGAATTTTCAGAGTTTCTATTACACAAACTTTTATGAATATTACTTACAAGTCACAATTAATTTCTCGCATGCATTCCTTCACGTCTCTCTGTCTCTCTATCTCCTTTTATTCCCCTACCCACTCCGGAGGGTAAAACGTTTAACGCAATGTTGTTGTAAGTTGCATAATAAGGTTCATTTCAAAAACATTCACTTCCTTGTATTTCTGTCATTATTATGAATATGTACATACGTATGATGTAATATTTATTTCTTTATATCTTATTGTTATTAATCAACAATTTCATTTTAGGTATGTACATGTGCCATTATATTTTTCTTTGCACCGTTTTTAAATAATATTTTATACCCTATTAAGCGATAGAACTGTTTTGTTGTATAACTTGACTTTTTAAGAAACATATTTTTACGTATACTTATATAACAAACAAAAATAAGTTTATTTTTTTTAAACTACAAGACTTTATAAACTTGATGATCTTTATTCTAATGTTGTAGGGTGTACAATATTCGTCGTTTGGTTAATTGGTGCGTAAACAAATAACGCTGTGGCTTCCCAAAACCAGAGCAGGCAAAATACAAGTTACAACTCTTCACGACAGAAGCCTAGATTTTCCAAATGAACGTCGCAAATACTTGAAGATTGACCATCTAAATTATGTATGGTCAATGTGAAAGCAAACCACAGGGGAAATTGCCGTCTTTTAAGTTACTTTAACACTATCAATCATAAGGCTTTTGTATCTCAAAATTATATTCAAGCAGTGTATTCAACTTGAATAAAATACTTGAATACTATTAAATGTGCCTTTTTTTGTTTTTGTTGCCTTTATTTTGTTTATGTTGTTGCAACTGCTTAACAGTATTTTTTTTTTTAAATAAAGTTATTGTTCTGCAATTTTTCCACATACAAAAAACAGCTTAATTATTGTTCCTGCCATTTTCAAGTTTAGCGCTTAACAACAGTCATTTTTATTTCTATGGATTCAACAAGAGTGTATTAAGTTCTAGGACTTTAATGCAACAAATGGGACAATATTTGGGATATTCGAAGATTCGTATTTCAATATTCAAATGTAAAGATGTATGGTTAGATGGAATTGTTTACTTTTGTGAGAAAAAAATAACATTTACTGAAATATTGTATCATATAATAATTATGTGCTGACTATTATGTATTGCTAAGAACCTAATTTTGTTTTTATTTCCACGAGAACATTTAAAAGAATATAAAAGAAATATTCAACAAAATATAATTTCAAGGTCTTTGTTTATTAATTTATTTATTTATTGAATCGCCAACAAAGTATACACAAATACAACCATTCAAATTATTACAATTGAAATGCTATGTGCTACCTCAGTTACAGGCAACCACTTCATGCTGAAATAGTAACAGAGTGCATGTAATCACAAAGTTAACATTTTGGTTTTAATACATTTTAGTTTAGACACAGCGCATGAAGAACAAGCAACTAGAAAGTAAAAATCTAAGCTTAATTAGTTAAACATTTTTAAATTGTTTTTTTGAATTCAAGAGGCCTTCCCGAGAATATATCAATTTTAGTATTTTTAAAAAGAGAGTTAAACTTTAATGTCATTCTATTCAAGGGTGAATAATGAGCGAGATTACTTTTGCATTTTTTTGTATTGAATGGAGTATACACGAGCCTTCTTAGGAGTTTAACTGGTGCATTAAGTATAGTTTTGAAAGTAATTGCGGGCTGTCTATATCTTTATTTATAATTTTGGACATAAATGTATGATCAAGTATTTCTCTTCTATTTTGTAGAGAATCAAGTTTAAAGTATTTGAATCGGTCAATGTAATGAGGGTGTGTTTTGGTTATGTTACAACTATAAGACAGGTGCCACAAAAACCTCTTTTGAACACGTAATATTCTTTTTATATATACTTCATAATGTGGATTCCAGACATTGCTACAGTATTCTAGCGTACTACGCACTAAAGTATTATAAAGATGAATTTTACTTGACGCCCTTTTAAAGTCCCTACCATTACGTAATATGAATCCTAGTGTTATAAAGCTTTTATTAATTATGTGATCAATATGTAGGTGAAAGCGGAGCTTTGAGTCGAAGATTACTCCTAAGTCCCGAACACTGGTAACTTCCTTTAACTTTTTGTTTTTAAAAGTATAATAGTACACTAAATCAGATTTTTTTTCTTGAAAATATAATAAAAAGACATTTTTTGATATTCATAGACATTTTGTAGTAGTCACACCAGTCGCTGAGTTTGCCTGTTTACAAGTCTTCGTTAAGCAATTTAGCGTGGCCTCTCCTTCCGCCTAACACAGGTACTCTCAGGGCATGGTTGCTTTGGGAAGTACCTGTGTCGTATAGGGCGGGAGGAATCTCCGGCATGCCACCATTGTGCGGATTGCCCCGAGGACACGGCGCAGCACACCTTGGAGGTGTGCCCAGCATGGGCGGAGCAGCGCCGTGACCTAGTTGGGGCAATGGAGGCGGGGGCCTTATCGCTGCACCACATGGTGTGGTGCATGGTGCGGCGTGAGTCGGCCTGGGACGCCGCGCTCGCCTTCTGCGAGGCGGTAATGTCCGCGAAGGAGAAGGCCGGAAGGGTGAGGGAAGCCACATCGTCCCTCCCCTCTCGCAGACACCATGCTGGGCGCCGCCGCAGAGACGCTCTCGACGATCTGAGGCCGCCGTGAAAGTGGCCCGTGGCGCGGACCCTAACCCGCGCTAAACGGCCAAGGGAGCTGCATGGTTGTGTTCCCCATGCAACTCCCAAGGACACGAGCGTGATAGTGAGCACCACATGAGGGGGGGGGCTGTTCCAGTAGCCCCCAAACAGACGACGGGCCCCCAGAAGCGGGCCAGCCTGTCGGGGAAGCTGGTGGGAGTGCGAAAGCGATCCCCCGCCCCGACACAAGGGCCGTCGTGGAACACCCTTGGGTTTTTAGTGGGTAGTGGCAACGAGCCCCACATACCCCGCTGTTTTCTAAAAATGGCGGGGATGCGTAAATGCATTTTTCCCAAGGATAAAAAAAAAAAAAAAAAAAAAAAAAGCAATTTAGCGTCATTAATACTGTGAATAGGTTTGACTGCAATATATTATTTATTTTATTAAAAATGAAAAAATATTAAACTTCCATAAAACAAACTTATATTTTTTATTAATCGACGAACTCCGTATCAAAAAAAAATCTCTGTTTTTGTCAAACAATATCAGTTTCAAGTACAAACGGGAAATGTTTTTATACATTATATTAATTGCTGTTGCTTGAATTTATAATTATACGCTTACATTAAGTAAATTGTTTTATTTATAGTTATAAAATACATATAATTTTATAGCATTATCCTTTTTATATAAATTTAATTTAATATATGTTTCATAGCGTAATAAAACGTTAATTGTTCTCAAATCTACCCTTTTTGTTAATTTTTTTAATGCATCAATAAATTAATGCATCAATAAATTGTTATCTTTTGTAACAATAAGTTGGGTGTTTTAAGTAAATTACAGTAATGTGAATATTTTTGTATTGGTCACTATATCATCTCCAAGTACAAATACTTGAACTCATTTCAATCAACCAAACACCAAGACTCATTGTTAAGGAAATTAAAAGAAACTCAGAAATGATGTCTAAGATTTTTGCGTGTATTCATTTAAACAAAACTAAGTGACTGTGGCTTATCATACATTGGACAGGCAAAGAAGAGCATCTGTATAAGGATCTCTAACATGTGTAGGATATAAAAAAATATAATAAAGAAGTACATATTTACATTAATCATTATGTAAGAATTAAATCAAACAAAAAACATTTATATCAAGATCAAAATTAATTATAAGCAAGTAGTATAAAGAAAAATAAATTATATTTCATATTTTTATTACATTTTATGGTATGAAGTTATTGGTGAATAACAAATTCTTCGTGTATATGTTATTGAAACATTTTCATTTAAATATAGGTAACCGCCACCAAAACAGAATAATTCTTTTACAATCACATCTTAAGAGGCATAAAACCATTGCTATTACATTGAACGTTGATCTAATTAATAAAGTTAATTTCAAAATCCAATTCAAAATAAGTAATTTATCAGTAATAAATTTATGAGTGCAAAAAATCAGATGATGTATATAATTATCATTTATTGGCATAATGATAACTTCTTATTAATTTATTGCTTTTAAAACTACTCTGATTGTAATGTTGGAATTTATGTCAGTTTTGTTTTCGTAATTCAGTTAATCTACACTCAATATTCTAAAACTACCCGGCATTCCAGCACATGTATCACAGAATTTATCTGACTGTCTGAGTGATTCATCTGTACCAGCTTTATTCATGTCGGCTACATAATCCATATGTTCCTTTGTTGAGAGAACGTCAATCCATTCATCTGGAAGTATGATTCATATAACTATTAAAAATTAATAATTAACCTAAATGGAAATGCTATAAACGATATAATTTGATTCATAAAAGTTTAAATATCAGCAAAAAAAAAAATACAATATTTTATTATAGCTCACCGTATAGAGTCTTGATAGACTTTTCATCACCACCATAGTCTACTGGCAGTATTTCTTTTGGAATGACTTTAGCTAAATCATCTATTGACTTGTGAACGGAGATTCTGCTTGCTACCTTTTCACTTAAAACTTGTTTTAGAATTGTTATAAACGCGTCCACAAATCTTGAAGAACATACGATGTGAATGCCTTTTATTCTCATACCATACCCCTCCTATTAATATATAACATAAATTTAAATACGAAACTATACACATCTAAAAAATATATGGTTAGGAGTTTCTTATACTTACTAGATAAATACTAAAAGCATTTCTTAAATCAATGGGATTAATTTTTGTCACGTAATCCATAATATTTGCGTCTGTGAAATCCGATATTACTATGAAACCCCTCAGATAATCATGTGATTTTAAATAATCTCCCAACTGTAAGGTATATTCTCAATTAAATTACTGGAAAGTCTATATGTAAATTTTTTGAGATGATCACTTACAATAACGTTGTATCTGTAGAAATTAATCACTTCTGAACTGTCAAAAGGAACATTATTGAACTTCGTTAGAACTATTCTGTAGTGATCAGGCGTCAACTGTGGTAACGCTACTGTCTGTCTGTAAAATAAAAAATATATTAGAAAGGTGCCTAAAACTATTAAGGAATTAAAAAGGATTAAGTATATTAAGCAAGTAATAAATTTTATATGATCATTAAAATACTTTTCAATAACATGTCTTTAAAAGTGAATTATTCATTGCAAATCGCCTTCAAAATAAGGTAAAACTGGTTGGTATTTATATTCTTTTGAGTCAATTTATACTTTATTAATTACCTACTAGCACCTTATCAGAGCAATTAACAATTGAATATAATACTTTAATTTCGTAATATAAAATGCCATATTTTTAAACAATAATATTCAGACCACTTTTAAGTCAAAACAAAAAGTCTTTCTAACTGATACTTGATTTACTGTTAAGTTCTCTTATTGTTTTAACTTTTAACTTTCTCTTATATTGTCATACCCATATTAAACATATCGATATCGATATCGATGTCCACGATACAGGCCTAGCCGTTTACTATATATTGCATTGTTAAGTGTTTTTACAATGAATAAATAAATGAAATGAATAAATATTACTGACTCGTTTAAATGGGAGCTTACAATTATATTATGTAGGTTGTGTTTTTGAAATGTTATTTTTATTACAAATAATAACTAAGCAGTTTCCTTATTTTCCTGAAAACTGAATAGCCTGTATCTACTTTATACCATTGGGGCACTTTGGGCATTGGAATTTACGATCCATTAAATTAATAATAGGTGTTACTTGAATTGTATTTATTTGCTACTCATGTTATATATGTTGGATTTCTAGCGAGTTGCGATAATTCTAGTGGGAAGGGCGATGAAAAATGATAAACCTAATCTTTCTGATTGCAGTTCGACCTTCTCAAAATAAGACTGTTAAATATAATTAGTAAAAAATATAGTATATAATATGACGTATTTCTAACTCCTAACTTGCAATTTATCACACCGTATAAATGTACGCTATTTTCTGTTTCGAGGAAAATCTTGATCAGATATATTCCTGGAGAACAGTTAGAAAAATTGCAGTGGCGAACGTAACCTAAGCTAAAATTTAGCAAATTCGATAAAATATCATCATTATTCGATTGGATGGAAATCTATGAGCTTATCGTCCTGGAGTATATGTGTGTGATTACATTTTTATTATTTTAAATTAAAATAAAAATGATAACTCGTTCGTAATAGAAAATACTTACACGACTTCATGTACAACTTTAAAATCATTTCTTACGTTGAAATTACCGAAATAAGCTGGTAAAAGTGTTCTCAGAGTGCAATTTTTATCTATTTGATTTTTTGCACGTTCAAGGGATCCTTTGCTTCCTAATATTGTAGTTTCTAAGAAATATGGATCTGAAATATTGAAAAATATTATTAGTTTTATTAAGAATTTCAATATTCTAGTTATATAAATGTTTATACTATACTCTTATAGTTGCAAATTGCAATGTTTTTAAATCATACAACAAATAAAAGAATATGCATTTGATTTGCACATAAGTTTTGTACATAGTTTGAAATAATAGAGTTTATTACTAAAAATTATTTATTATTGAATGTTTGTATGGTTTAGATAGTTATAGTACTTGAAATATAAATTACTTTTTGTTTTAACAATCGTTTGAAACCCGTTTATAACACGTTTTAAGTTGAATTTGTGTTTAAAAAACTCTATACCTATAACTTTTTTGCCAGCAATGTGTTTTTTTTATATTCGTTCATAAATTAGCATACTCGTATTATCGCATAAAACAGAAATATGTTAATATTTGTTATTTGTATATGTTATACGGCTGTAGTATTTTTTATGTTAGCTAACAATGTTAAGAGGAAGCAAATTTTTTATATTTTCCTTTTTTTTTGAAAATTTCTTATGTTATAAGTATCTTATAGTTATTTTATCATTAGTATTCCTTAATACCTACAATTTTTATACCGAACTTTTCAAAGAAAAAACGTCAACATTTTATAGCATCAAGTTTCTAAATCTTGTTTGTTATGCGCTAATCCTAAAAACTATAAAATACATATTAATTGAATAAAAACAAGACAATGCCAAGAACGAAGTGGAGCACATTTAGATGAAGTTATTTTTATAAAAAAAAATTATATTATTTATTAAACAATAAATAAAAATATCAAAATTTACAAAGTTTTTTATATATTTTTTAAATCTTTTAAGACCTTACTTTTGAAGATATTATATCAGAACAAGATATTGATTTTCAGACAAATTATTGAGAGTAGCAGCCAGAAATTAGGTGGGAAACTCAGGAAATAATTGAGATATCATACGGTTTCGTTAATTTCGGTATTGATAGATTTCAAAGTATTCCTCACAACAAAATTAAATACTACACGTATGATGTGAATGACCTGTGCAATTGGCTCATCGAGATATACAAGTGTAAGCCTAAAATGAGATTTTGTTTTATGGTGGTGGATTTATTCATTCCCAATACTTAGTGTTAACGACTTCAAGCCATTAAACATAAAGTTAATGTAACAGTTGTTCTGATAAATCTGAATTCAGAAAACTTCTACTTCAAAAATATCGCACATACTTTAAGACAAATTAAAATACGTTATTTTGTATAAACTAGTTTAAATACCATAAAATTAATAATAAAACATGTAAATGTAATACACAATGCCATGGAATGATATTTTTTATACATAATGATGTTAGGTTAAAAAAAGGAGATACGTCACTGTTTTTGTAACAGAATGTAGCAAAATTATTTTTTTGAAATAAAAAACAGAATATAAACTCTTGCTATAAAAATGTATCTGTGTTATAGAACCAAATTAAATGTTAATTTGTATGAACTAAAAAAGCTGTGATTATGTTCCTTTATTCATGGGTGACTTTTTATTTAAATTTGGAAATAACTCTCGCCAAACCAGCAAACGTTTAATTCAAAATGGTGTTGAAGTAGTGTTTTTAGAAGTAGTGGTTTTTAAGTAGTTCTGAGAAACATTTATTTTCTTTATAATTAGATAAGTGTCAAGAGAATTAATAAAAAACAATTTTAGAAGTCGATAACTAGTTAATAGTATACAAAACACAGGTAAGGATTTAACAATTATTTTTCTTTATTTTAATAGTTCTTTTTTTATTTATTTTCTCAATCTTAAATAGTCCAGAAGTAATGAATGCGAAAGCAAGATAGCAGAGCGTAATATAGTACATTGAAAATAAAAAAATATCTCGATAATAAATACGGGTTTTAAATATAAACTAAATCAATAGCTGAATAGAAATTATAATTATGCTAATGAGATACTGCCAATTGCCTAAAATAAAATACGTCCAAAACTAGTCTTCACGACGTCTAGTCAAAAATTTTATATTATAATATTATACTCTACATTTAAACACATTCACATGTGTTTGATTTTTTTTATTTCTCCTTCTATACACATATATTAAATGAAAATTTGTTTTAAATATTAAATAACTGAAAAAAATTGTTCATTCGCTCAGTTTTTCAAAAAAAAATTGGTACACTTATAATATGTCTCATGGGTCAAAGTTTATGATATGAAACACTATTTTTATGTAAATACTAATAACGCTTTGATACAGTGGCCAATATGGCATTTGCTATTTGTCTATTAGCACCATCAAACATTTTATAAAAACACCTTTCAAATTGTCCAAATCTACATTATCATTTATATCATTATATCCTAAGTGCCGAAAGAGTCTACGATACTTTTTACCTATTGACTTAAATTCACCGAAACGGCGCATATAAGACAATGGGCATGTGTTTTTGTTTTAAATAAATACATACCCATAAAATAATGCTAGTTTTTAGGGGGGTCGTCAAGAATATTTTGGTTTACAAAAAAAAAGGCTGGTTGTTGAAATATAAAAGGAGACACCATAATTTTATTGGGATCGAAATCAATGTGATTGTGAATATCAGATCTCAATAAATGCTACACATTTTATATAATGCAAACACAGCGAGAAACACAAGCAAAAAATATTGAAATAATCTTGCCTTGTTACTTCATGAAGTACCTTTATAGAACATTGTCATGATAATATTGACCTTTAAAAATTTATTACCCAGCATTATATAACATATAAAGTAAATATGATTTAAACATTAATATTTAATGTTTTATAACACTTTGTAGTTTCTGGAAGGTTAACCATATTTTGGTGAGATTGTACTGAAATAAACTATGTGAAATTTACAATATGTTTTAAGAACTGAAGTGTATACTGTCTAAATATTAATAATGTATGTTACATAATATATTTTTCATGGCACTAGTTTCAAACACTCTCAGAAGAATTATCCATGATCAAATTTCTAATAGGTCTAAATTTTGGCAATAATTTCTTTTAGGTAAATTTTATGGTATCAAACAGAATATTCGGCTTTCATTTCAAGTTTATACTTAATAAAATTAAATTACCAAGCGTAACCGGTCTATGGCGTGATCCTAACAATATAATAATTTGACTTTATTGTAAAAATCTTCGCATAGAGGCAGAGCGGTGTTAAAATATTTTTGAAGTAACTACAACTTGTCATTGTTATTAATTGAATATATAATCAAAATTGCTTTGCTATAGAACTCACCGAAATCCTTCTTTTTAAAATGCGCCTGTTTTTGGATCCACTCGTCTAATATTCTTACCGCTTCCTCCATTCTACCTTTTTTCTCCAGGTTAAACTCTTTACGAACTTGTTCGAAAGTGTCTGGTCTTAATTGCAGGATTCTGTCTTTTGGTACGAATTCCATTTTGATACAGTTATAAACGCTCACTCCGGCGACTGTTAATAAACTGAATAACGCTACAATTAATTCTTACCACTACCTTGTTTGGTAACTTTAAAATGTCTTAAAATGATCTTTGCGTAAGGTGAATTGTACGCACACACGTATATATACATAGATATACACATATAAGCATTTTTTTTTCAAGTTTATTAATCTTTAATGATATTGTTTTAAAATGGTGTTTGACCACTTATCAGAGTAATGTATTTTAGGGGTTAGTTACGTAAAATGTATATTTTCAAGAGATAATTAAAATTATAATAAAATGAAGTTTTCATCAATTATTCTTAGGATTTTAGAAATTGTCAACATATAGAAAGCGGACTGAATTGAATGAGGGGTACACAGTTTTCAAAAATTAAATGTAAGGAACTTTATCGACAAATTTAATTTACTTCTATAATTATAACAGTAATATTTTTTAATAAAACGAGTATTTAACAAAAAATCTAACTTAAAGTAAATGTACTTTTTGTAATTAATATGTATGAAGTGAGGAAAATTATTTTAAATTATATACATATATCTAGAACCCTTTACTTATGTATCAATACAAACTCAATAAAAAGCTTACCACACAGCAAACGCTGTGGATTTTGAGAACATTCCATACATAAAAAAATATCTGTTTAGTGTTGCCCTTTGATCTTAATTGTTTTTGTTCTTTTTCTTCCTTCAAAACAAACATCATAAAAACTCATCATTACAATATCAAATTCTCTTTTTAAGTATTCAATATTTGTCTAATTTGACTCATATTTTATCTTTTAAATCTTAATTACAACCATTGGTCTTTACTACCTTGAAAATATATAAAATATGTGCATGATATTATTTTTAATAAGTTGTCTTGCAAATTAAAATAATTAAATATGACCTTAGTTTAAAAAATTGTTACAAAGTACATAAAAAAGATACTTAAAAACAATTAATGAAATTGAAAAAAATATATATTACTCAGAAGGAAACTTTAAATCATTTTGTTACGAGCACTACTTATTTGTTTTTTAATTTAAATTTTTGTGTTTGTGTTTACTCTTCCTTTTCCATAAAAATTACAGAAATATAAGACGTATGTATTTTTAAAATAAAACCTAAACTACTTACCTTAGGAAATTTACATCAAAAAGATAGTGGCATAATATGACAATAGTTATAGGGATTAATGGACCAAAAAAAAATATCCTACTGTACTACACACGTACTGTACACTGTACTGTAGTACACATGATGAGCTCCCTAAACTCTGTAATTAGTTTCTAAACGTACAAATATTTATATACATTTTATCAACACCCGAACTATTGTATTTGTAAAATGTAATAGTAATGAATTTGCGATGGTTTATTAATTACTATTTTAAGGGTATTAGATTGAATCGCTAATAATAAATAAATAACAATCTTAATGTTGTAATTTGATTTAATATATAATAGGTAAAGAACAAAGTATTATTACCCCACAGTATTATTCATAGACATTTTCATAATATGTAAGAGGCCTAAAAGATATCGTTCTGATTACAGAATATAATGTATGTTTATATAAAGATCAGGCTACATTATTCCTATTGATTTTAACTGCCACTTAGATCTTTAAACACTAAAACTATCCCTACAACTTATATTTTTATTATCATTAAAATCTTACATACACTACTTTACCAACAATATGATTCCTTTATCATATAGAGTATTGTCCTGGATTTACTCAGAAAGTGCTAACTTTGTTTTAGGATTCTGCATTATTGTTATACAAACTTATAATCTGATATTTTATGATAAGTTGACTTTGTGTCGGATAATTGTGAGATATATCGGAATAAGTGAACTTACAAAATAAAATTACATGACAAAAATCTTTATGACTTTTCTTTGCAACCCCTATCCTTTTTTGGTGAAGAAGTTCTGCGACGGATCGCCATGCTGCCTCATGATGGCTTTACAGTATGGGGGACTCCCGAACATACTCTCGACAGGAGGGGCGCCTTTCTCCTTCTGAAATGTTACGCAGGGAAAAATCCCCGATACATCAAACTTCACAAACGTGATGACACAAGACCAACGTTGATCTAAACGCGTCATCACCAGCAAGCACCTATTAAACAGTCAAGGACTTCTCATGATCTAAGACAATGAAGGAAGTGTTGGGGCTGCTGAGTTCTGTGGAAACATTCTGCAAACGGGCACAGTGACCCAGTATACCCTCAATGTTATTAAATACTAATATAATATCTTCCTATACCACTCCAAAATTATTTAAATATTTTTTGGGTAAATATGCGCAGTAATATTTCCTGCAAAATTTTTGATGATGTTTCTTTTATGACAATAGGGTCGTGTCTTTTAGATTGGTCCTTAGCTTAAAGGATAACTAATCTCTGCCTTTTTTATATCCTACGAACTAAAACAGATCCTAAAGTCAATTACAGTTCCTTCATTTTTTAAATTTTAGCCAAAAGCTTTTTAGTATTCTTAGAAGACCACCTTCTTAATTTTTTTACCACTCTTTTCCTTCATACGCAAAATCCATCAATACCTCAGCTCTATATCTACAAAATCATTTAAAACTTCAATTAAACTAAGCATTTGTCTAGTGAATACAAATATGAATTTATAGATGGCGTAATTGTATGTTTTTAGCATTATGGCAATGCGGAGGTTATATTTAAATAATAATTATATAGAATGAAAAATTCATTGACACACGGAGACTTGAAACCTATGGAATATCACAATGCTAAGCCATCGGAAATAATTATGATAAAAAGTAATTACTAAATGTTGAAAATGAACGGTTTTCTTCGTTAGTGTTAAATATTCCTTTGCTTTTTCTATATACCATTATCTTCTAAATATCTAAAGTGCCTAACAGAAAAATACCTCAGGCTGTATGTTAAAGAGTTTAAGGTTCATTGCTATCACTTACATAATATTATCTAACATCCTCTATAACAAAATGTACGACCAGCTTGTTTGATTTGAGATTATTTAAAAGCTAACCCATTCAATATTATGAATCAGATAAACATTTCTGTGTAGAAAACGAATAACTACAAAACCTAAAGAGTCTTGTTTTAAAAAGGTCATTTGAGTGGAATATTTTACAATTCAAGGGACATTTTGTAAGAAAAAAAGAAAACAAGATATTATGAAGGATTTTTAGTCACTAAAATAAAAATATAACATTGTTATTGTTTTTTTAAATTTCAACATTTACAGTCATTTATGAGAGGATAAACTATGTAACAAAAAAAAGATGATGTGAATAAGGAAATAAACAACTCTTGAATAATAGACGGACTTTTGGTTTTATTATTATGTTCATTTACTTAGTTATATTTTCATTATCCCCTTATCAAATATTAAAGCAATTACACATTTCTACACAAAATTAATAAAAAGTATTAATATATTTTAACAGGGACAATATAACATTTCCATACTTCTTTCCAAAAAACAATAATGTAAAAATTTATAGTTATTACATCATACTTTAAACAATCAAACATTTTCTTACATGAAAAACCCCCTACATATTTATAAGACTATACTAGTACGCATAAGGTGGAATTGAGTAATCATAGAACAAAAGTACTGTACTTAATTTATGAAGTGTGCGGAAACAGTGCTGTACCGATATTAACCAACCATAGCTAAGAACCTTCATTGCAAGGTCACTGGCTCTTAAATGAAGGCATACACACTTCATAATCTTTTATGAATTATTTAATTTACAAAACTTTTATTTATGAAGGTACCTTATCAAAGGGCCCCATGTTTAATATTAGATTAAGATACTATATTATGTAAAACCTAAAAACTCTTTGTTAACTTGCAAAATAACTTACCATTCTTTTAAATAAAATATATTTATTTAAAAGTTCGGTATGTCAGATATCACTACTATTTAAGAATTCCGAAAATTATAGAATACTAGCTTTCCGTCCACAGCTTCGACCGCGTGGAGTTCGGTTATATCGCGTTTCCGAGAGAACGTTTTAAAAGTCTGGGATAAAAACTATCCTTTGTTCTTTCTCAAGGTCAACTCTATCTCTATACCAAATTTCATTAAAATCAGTTCAGTGGTTTAGGCATGAAAGCATTGCAGACCGACAGACAGAGTTACTTTTGCATTTATAATATTAGTAGGGATATTCGTATACTCCACGATTTTTATTTAGACTGATCTTAATTTTTAATATAGACAATTTAACTTAAACGTTTTATATTCTTGGTTCAAGCCTCCTGAACTCTTCAAAATAAAGTCACCCAATGGAAGGCGGTCGTAGTTTTTTAAATATAAATACATTTAATATATTTTTTCAATTTCTTCAGAGTAGTCATAAGAACAATGATAAGAATCCAAGAACTGAGGAACAAAAATTTTTTCATATATCTAAGTGGCCCTTGCTTGGAAAAGTAATTTAACTACGGGTAATCGAAACGTTGAAACACTCAGTTAAAGAGTATACTCAATCTAAAAACTAGAATTAATGGAGATAACACTTCTTGTGATAGCTAGAGTCTGATCTTACTGTCTTGTAACTAATGTATTAAACTTTACGAGATGTAAGTGACTATTACGACCTCGTGTTAAGCGAGAGGCTGCAGGTTAAGGTTTGAGTCTTAATAACCAAACAGCCTTGTTCTCTTAATTTAAATGATATAATAAAGTTAAATACCACCTATCTGTAATAAAAATTTGACTGGAATGTTATACATCCCTTTTATCGAAGCGTTTGAAAAAATGTCTTGCAAAATCCCCCATTCGGCAGAGCCTGTTAGTCCCACGGTAAGCATGCTTAGCCTAGTAAACCTGCCAATTTATCAACTGAAACCACCAACGGTTAACCTCCTCGCCATAGTGGGATATAACGGGATCGCTTTCGCGTTCCCCGTGATGGCCCGGCGGAATGACCTCTAACGGGGCGTCCCGAGTGCGTCTCAGTGGGTGAAAGACTCATAGGCCAGCCTTTCACAAGAACTACAGTTGGAGGATACAGAGACGGGGGGTACTCCCTCTTCCTGCAGACTCCATACCCAATAAGTAAGTATATGCGTTTCCACAAGACAGAACGTCAGTGTTCTGTATCGTCAGGTGATCCTTATTACAGATTAAAGATTAATTCTTCGAAATACAATAGAGTATGACAGTATTTTTTAAATAAAACTCAACTCAAAGAATTATATCATATTTTTTAGTAAATATGACGAAACAATATGTAGCTTATCAGCTAAAGAAAAATTAAATACATACTTAAGCAGGTATCAAATAAGATCCATGTCTCGCAACACTAATTATGTAAACGAATTAGAAATATACTCGAAGAGATAGATATACTTCTCAAGTCAAGCATATGAAACATTATTATTACTTAATAAAGTTAATGTTACTTGAAATGATTATTATTATCGTTTAAAAATATTTGTAAAAAAAAATTTGTAAAGATTTGTAAAGCTCATAAATTTCTTTTGAGATACTCATTTAAGAGCTATTTTAACTAAACATTTCATATTTCAGTCTTTTAAAGCGACCTGCCTTTAGAAAAATGCACAGTGCTTTTAACATAATTAAATTAAAATTCATATTTTTACAGATACTATTCAAACCCCTAAACCATCGAATTAATTATTTAAAAAAGTAATGATTTTGCATAATTTTTTTCTTTTTACATCAATATTAAATCTTACCATAATTTTTCTTAACGAGATGGCCTTGTTTATTTATCCAATCAGACAAGATATTTACAGCTTCTTGAATCCTTTCAGGTCGATTCAAATTATATTGTCTCCTGATGTATTGCAAGGCATCCTTGTTGTGTTCTAAGATTGGACTAACCTTTAATAAATTCAATGCTATCGCTTTGAAAGTCCAAGTTATACTAATATAGAAGACAAAAATTACTAAACATAAGAAGCTAGGTTCGACCACTACGTCAACACAGTTTTATTTTATCTAAAAGTTGTTTTCATGATCTCACTCTTTTCTCAATGTCTTGATTTAAGTTTTTTATTTGTTAGAAAAATAAATTAAATTGTGTTATAGTGGAAATAAATGTATGTAGAGATTTTTTATATGTATTTTTAAGGTTTTATTTTCTATGCTTTTAATTAAAAAAAAATACTTAGATTTAATAAATAAAATTTTTATCATAAGATCATGAATAATTCAATAAAGACTAGAGTATATTTAAAATGGTTTTGGAAATTTTAAGCGTTTTTATAAATAATGCATACTTAAATGTTTAGTTACGAGTATGTGCAAAATGGTAGAAACAAAAAGGACCTTTTTACCCTCTCATTACCGGTAATCCTTTTCAATAAAAATTTAGGAGTATAATTTTGCATATTAACAAATATTATGAAAAAACCTATTTTAATGATTTATAAATTGTTTTTAAAGGTAGCTTAATTTTTTATATGTATTTAAAGCACGAGAACTGGTTGTTCCATATTTTTGTTCAAATATTTTACGTACCTACTTACTTACTTATACTAAACAATCCTTCAAAGAATACTGTATCCATACCCAGGTTTTAACATATATAAAAAACTGTGTGTTTACATTTTTAATACATAAATGATATTATTTATTTTGTTTAATAGTTCTTGCGTAATATAATTAACTAATTACCGTTGCGAACATCGACACTTGTAAGTTCTTGTCGTCGTTGTATGGTCATTAACTAATTTATTTAAAAGCTGTTTAGATTAAAAAGTAGTTCACAAAATCGTCATTATATTTAACCTTTTTTAATCTATACTAATATTATAAAGCTGAAGAGTTTGTTTATTTGTTTGAAAGCGCTAATCTCCGAAACTACTGATTCGTATTGAATAATTCTTTTTGTGTTGGATAGTTCAGTTATCGAGGAAGGCTGTGGGCTATATAACATCACGCTACGACCAATAGGAGCAAAGATATAGTGGTAAATGTGTAAAAAACGGGAGAAATTATTTCATCTTTGAAGCCTTCCGTTGCGTGCGCCGTGAAAACGGTTCAAGATATACAAAAAATATGTATTAAAGAATGATAGCTCTTTTAATGATCTAAAAAACAGTCCCGGACAGTATATGTCTATCTTTTAAGATTAACTCACAAAAACCGTTTTTATGGTACCTAATTTGGTCGAAATAATTTAAGTTGTATCAACATAATAATATTAATCTTTATTCAAATAAACAAATAAATATGTTGTTGGTTAAGAGTACTTCATTGTGAATAAAAAAACATAGATTTTATCCTAAAAATTCTACGGGAACTCGACCAATCCGAAAACCCCGCAAGAACGGGAACTATGTGGGAAGAACCAAAAATCTGCTGGAAGTCACTATTCCACGCGGACGCAGTCGCGGCAAAAGCTAGTATGTTATATAGTTCAAATTAGTATAGAAATCATTTAACTAGTGAATCGACATATCTTAAAAGGTTTTAAAATCATAAAAATTAGTACCCATTCATTTAAATATATATAAATTACAATCAAATTAGTAGATTTATTCTTTTTGTGTATTTGCACGTCCCAATATATACATAATCAGAAGACATTTCGTAAACCTTTATAAGGATATATATCGTTTAAGTTATTAGAATTTTTTGAGAGGAATATTTTAAGAAAGATGTCCACCTTGCCTTGACATATACTCTGGATGTTAATAGTTAGACAAGAAACCCTTTACCTATTTATCCTAAATCGTTATAATCACCAGCTATTTTCATAAATTGGCGTTTTTTATTTATCTTATTGACGTGTAATAACATTATTATTAAAAATCTTAATATTAAATACGAAAAAATCTTTTCAATTTGGTTTGTTATATACATAATCCATAACAATAAAAAAATAAGAAAACATATATTGAATTGAATGTAATATAAGCATTATGAACGGTTTATAAAAATGTTTACAATTATGCATATAATAATAATAATGGTGTTTTTGTATACACTTCTTTTTTTTATATAAAATCATCATTTTTGACGATTCGACGGAAACAATATTCTGAGACTCTTAACTACATAACTAACATGTTTCATACACTTCCGGAGTTCTTTGGTTAATAATAAACAAATACAAGACTATATTTTATTTTCTATAAATAAGAGATCCGTAAGAAAATTGAAACTTTGTATCCCAGGTTGAAAAGTGAAAAACTATCTACAACGACAAATATTGTACAAGTGGTCATATATAACTAATGTTACTTTTTATTTTTTTCATTTTTAATAATATTGTCATTGAAATAATCAAATGCCTTCATTTCAGTTAATATCTTAAAATAGTATTCCTACTAATAGTATAAATGCCGAAGTAACTCTGTCTGTCGGTCACGTTTTCACAACTAATCCGCTGAACCGATTTTGCCACAATGAAAGGTGGAAGGAACCGTGTATAAAGACATAGGTTACCTTTTATCTCGATCACAGATCCCAAATCTAGATCCCGATCACGATCCCGACCCTGACCCCAGCACCAAAACTAGATAGACTTTATAATTAAAGCTATAACAAATAATAGCTATGTTTTCTACACAATATGGCTAAATTAAGAAAATGAATGGTGATGAATATAGCAACAATTACATTACTATATAGTCAATTGTTTTAAATCATATTGAAATACCTACCTGTTGAAGAACATCAACTTGTAGAACTTAGTAAAATTCCACTTGGTTGCTGCTCATTTCGTACCAGAGCAATATTGAGAATAATTTCTGTTTCTAATAGTACCATGTACATATATCTACTAGTGGCATCAAATCTGTTGATGTCATTTCGGTTGTGGTGTGTGGCAATAAAAAAATTTATACCATTTCAAATGCCCTTCTTTGAAAATTTTTTAGACATCCATTATACATTTCATATTTAGGACAAATCAATGTGATTTATAATGAAACAGTTACTTAACTAAAGAACTTTCTCACGGAACATGTTAAACCTGTTTTATTAGTAGGCTGAAGTTTTAACTTATTCTGACCTAGCAGTTAGGCTATTTGATTTTGAATACAAAAGCTATTCTGAACTCTCATCTGTATTGGAGTAATCATACTTCAATAAAATAAATTATTACCATATACTTATTAACAGCTGCACATAGCAGTTAAAATATGTACTAATACGTCTATAGTGTGAAAAATCTTTACTCGTTACGAATGTCAGCGGTGAGGATAGACCCGAGTGACAGAGTGAAATTAAATATACACTAAACATACATGGCCAAATTAAATGTATTCTATGTATTTTGGGATCGCTTTCGCATTAAGCGTGATGCTCCGGGGTGACCTGTCTAACGGGGCGTCCGGGGTATCAAGGACGCCCATTATAGTGTACGTCTCAGTTGGCGAAAGACTTATAGTCTCCACTGTTATGAAAGCGAGGAAAGCAACTCTCTCTTCCACCGTCGTATTAGGTCTCGGTGAGTTAAAGCTCTGATCTGAGCTGTTTCGATCCTCACTCCCTTGGCCCGGGTTTTCGCTCAGTGCCGGTACACCCAAGCAAGTAACTCTGTCTGCAGCTTCCAAATGAGTAACCAACCAAGAGGGTGGCTGCGGTGTAGCTTAACATTTGATACTTCCATAAGAACTATACTCCTCATAGTAGAATTCTCCCCAAGGAAGCAACGCCGGTTTGAAGATTCGGAGTCAAGAGTGAAAAGCCTAGATTTCGCATCTGGTTTTTCACCGCCACCTCGAAACGCTAAACAAAGATGACTCCGACAAGGGACTCGTGAAATAGAAGGGCCTCCGTCTTAGTGACAGAGATCCCCAGCCACAAGGGGCCTATGCGATCCGCTACCAAGGTAGCTTCTATTGTGGCCAGCGGGGATTCCTCTGCAAAGTTCTTACCCCGAACAATGACAGAGGTGTAATCCGCATAGCAAAAGACCCTCGTCAAAGGAAGATTCGGAGAACATGCACCATCCTAATCAATCAATTGAAAACTAACCTTAAATTTAGTTTGGTTTTGCTTAATACATCCAACATATTATATTCGTATACTCGTATAAAAAAATAAAACAGAATTTCTGTTATCCTGTATTAATGTAAACTAGATAATACGTAAAAACAAATTAAGAAATCACAAAAAAATGTGAATGTAATCTAGTTTAACTACACCAATAAAATATCGAGTATTTTTAAATAAATTGATTGATTGTAATGAGATGAATAGGGTTTGCAAAAATTTTCCAGCTGCCATTGATTTTAACGTTGTTCTTTAAACATGTATTTAATCAACAGCTAACTTTCTAAATGATCCTGGAATTCCAAGATATTGATTTTTAATATCTCCACTACGTAACATTTCAATTGTACAAGCATTCCTCATATCTGTTAAGTGATTTTGAAATTTATTTGAAGTAAGCTCATTCAATAAGTTTTCTGAAAATTTTAAAATTAATTAGATTTAGACACTCGTTCTAGAAAAACCTACTAAAAAACATCAAAGTCTTAATTACCATGGAGTTGTTGCAAGGTTTTCTCTGATCCTCCATAATCTTCTGGCATGATGTCTTTAGGTACGAAGTTGTATATTGAATCTAAACTTTTGTGAACATGAATTCGTTGTCCCAATTTTTCGCTCATACCCTGTTTTATAATAGAAACAACCATATCGATCAAATTGGAAGTCGTTATAATGTGAATACTTTTAATCCTCATTCCGTAACCTTCCTGTAATAAACACTTTTGTAAATAATTCATGAACATGGACCAAAAAAAACCATAGAATAGATGATAAATATACTTCGAGGATGACCATCTTCGAGATATATTTTCTCTTTATAGGGCTTAAGTAAATTAGCAAGTTTAAAAATTTATGTGCTTCGTCGAAGTTATGAAGTTATATAGTTTTATAATATTGTTTGAAGTTGGATAACTTATTTAATAATTTTTTATACATATTAATTATTATATTATTTAAATTAGTTACGGCGTTTAAATTTTATATTTTTATCCGATAACGAAACTCTCACAGAAGCAACAACAGTTACAAAACTAAACAACTATTGACTTATAGTGACCTTTAAGTGACCTACAACTAATGTTCATATCGGACAATTACCTTGTATTTAATAAGACGCATAAACAATTTTAGTAATTAATAAAATAAACAATTCACTTCAAAAACTATACTAACTTTAACTATACATAGTATACTTAAATTTAAGACAATCAAGTCGGAACTATTTAAAAAACCAAGACACTTTCCATGCAATCCATATTTTAAGTATTAAAAAAGTGATATTATACTTAAAAATCTGTCAATAATTTTAACATTATTTAATATAGAATATAGTAAAAATAAATATATTACCGTTACAATGTTTGTGTTGTGTTCTACTTCTGTTATATTAAAAACTTTTATAAAGTCTAATATATTTAAACCTCTATAATCGAAAATTACAATGATACCATTGTTATAGTCATATGTTTGTAAGTACTCGACTTTCTGCAAAAAATCAAACAGAATTATTATGAATAAAGTGTGATTTTTATATTGTTTATTACATAGATAAAAATAAAATAAACACATACAGCAATCAGAGCCCGGTAGCAGTTCAAGAGAACGAAATCAAATTTTTGAAGATTGTTTCTTAAGAGGAACACTCTACAGTGGTCAGGCGTCATTTTTGGCAAGAAACCATCAACTCTGTTGAGAAATATACAGGAATTATTAAGAGTGAAAGAACTTCATAAGAAAATAGATATTATAGATAGTTACATGTACTTTTTTTGCTATTTATTTTATTAATTTCATATATAATAATAATTTAATTTTATATATATTATAAAGTATATTAGTTATTTGGTTCCTTAAACCTACATTTTATTTACAGCAGGATGATTTATATCGAATGGTTCGAAATATATAGGCAGGGCCGTTCTAAATGAGCATATCTTGTCCAATTTCGTCTTAGCTTTTTCCACAGAGCCTTTACAGTTTATAAGTATCCTTTCTAAATAATCACTGCCTAAAATAAAAGGCATACATCACTTTAGAATCCCAAATAAAAAAAAATATAAGACGAAAATTATATAAAAGGAAAACAGATATTCGCTGTAGAAAACATTTGTATGCAACTTTTAATTGCAACGAAAATAAAAAACCTGTTATTTTAATTCAGCGCCTTTGACGTCTTGACGTCACACACACTTTGAATACGACATCAATATAAAAAATATATTATATTTCTATCTTATTTCAAATTTCGTCGAACTTCTGTTTCTTCCTTATTACAGATTAAAGAAAAATTCTTCGAAATACAAAAGAGTATGACAGGAGTTTTTGTATAAAACTCAAAAAATTATATCATATTTTTTAGTAAATATGACGAAATATAGAAATGAACAATAAGCACAATAATAACTTAATAGCTCAGCTAAACAAAACTTTTAAATACATTCTTTAATATGTAAGTATTAATTAAAAAGAAATGATTTGTCATTAATATTTTTCTTTTTATATTAATATTAAATCTTACCATAATTTTTCTTAACCAGATGGTCTTGTTTATTTATCCAATCAGACAAGATATTTACAGCTTCTTGAATCCTTTCAGGTTGATCCAAATTATATTGTCTTCTGATGTATTGCAAGGCATCCGTGTTGTATTGTAAAATCGGACTAACCGTTAATGAATCCATTGCTATCGCTTTGAACGTTCAAGTTATACTGGAAGACAAAAATTACTAAACATAAGCAGTTAGGGCCGACAACTACGTCAATACAGGTTTATTTTTTCTTAAAGTTATCATCATCATGATCTCACAAGAGATTAAAGTTTTTTATTTGTATGAAAAGAAAAAGAAATTTTAAATAGTACACTGAAAATAAACATAAACGATTTTTGTGTGTACATTTTTTATAGTTTTGTGTTTCTTGCTTTTATATATAGAATGAGAAACATATTATATAGATTTAATAATTCAATAAAAAGTAAATCACAATTTCATGAATAATTCCGGAAAGACTCTTTAGTCTACTACTATACTTGCAATACTTTAGAAAATTTTAAGCGCTTTTATAACCAATGCACAGTAATAAATTAAATATTTCAATGAAATTATTTAAATAAAAAGTAATAACTTCTTTAACCTGTCATTTTTCGTAATCCGTTTGGTTCAATAAAAATTGATGAGTATAATTTTTCGCACTAACATAAACTATAAAAAAAAAACCTTTTTTAATTATGTATAAATGTACCTTAATTTTTTACATGTGTTTTAAGCGCGAGAACTTGCTGTTTAATTTTTTTGTTCAAATAAATTATATGTACCTACCTACTTACTTACGTATATTGGACAGGGCCTCCGCAGGATGCTTTTAACCTGTTGTATATAAGAGTCTGAGTAAGCGTACATTTTTAGAGTATATAAAAGTACTTAAATAATAAATAAACATGTATATATATATATATAAATATTTAATTATATATATATATAATTAAATATTTCTCGCGTTATACAATTAAAAAATTACCGTTACTGACATCGATACTCGTAAATTTTCGTCGTATTCGTAGTATGGTCATCAACTAATTTAGTTTAAATCTATTTTTAGATTAAAAACTAGTTAACAATATCGTCATTATAATTAACATTTTTCATTACGTAGTATAGTTAAAACTGTTATAGAAATCCTGTAAACAAATAATCAGCACATCTAAAAAAGTTTTCAAATCATAAAAAGTTAGATACAAGTTAGTACTCACTTATTTAAATTTTAAAAAATGTATAAATTCCTATCCAATTAGTAGATTTATCCTTTTTTCATGCTGGCCCGTCTATATACATATATAGATACCTAAAGACATTTCGTAAAGCTTTATAAGTATACTAGCTTTTACATTGCGACTTGGTCCGCGTTAGCTTGATAATTAGAAATGTATAGCAGACCAGGGGAACTTTTTCTAATTTAGAGGTAGTAAATAAACAGATTTTGTATTTATTAGCATTCTCTTTTTGGTCGAACGACAAAGTATCCTATGTCCGTCTCCTGATTCCAACCTACCTCCCCACAAATTTCCATCCAAAGCTTTACAGCCTTTCTGGAATTATAAATAGTGTAACTAACATGACTTTCTTTTATATATAAGTATATATATTTGTTTAAATTATTAGAATTATTTGAGAAGAATGTTTTATGACAAGTGTCCACCTTGCCTTGACATATACTCTGGATGTTAATAGTAAGACAAGAAACCCATGACCTTTTTATCCTTATTGGTTATAATATCCGGCAATTTTAATAAATTAACGTCCTTTATTTCTCTCAGTGACGAATAATTACTTTATTAATTAAAGAATCATGATATATTACAATAAAGGTATAAATTATTTTTTATTAAACATTATCATTACACACTTAATTAATACACAAATATAAAAACAATAGTCTTTTAACTGTCATTTTTCAAGGATATTATATCTACTTTTTGTTTTTGTTGTGGTATGACAAAGTAACGTGACAACTTTGGTCAAAAATCTTAGTATTAAATACAAAAAAAATCTATTTGCATTTGGTTAAATATATGAGTCGTAAAAATAAAAAAAAACATATTGAATTGAATGAAATAAACATTGCTTACAACTATACTACATTTAAATATTCGTAAAAAATAATACGATTTTTATATAAACACAATTTTTGTCTTTCTACAGAAACGCTATTTCTAAGAAGGTGGACTCTAAACTACATTACTCACATGTTTCGTACTCTTCCGTAGTTCTTTGATTAATAACAAACAAATAGAAGGTTGTAGGCAAAATATTATTTTCATAAATTAGAGATCCGTAAGAAAATTACTACTGTGTAATGGGTTAACAACCTAGGGGTTGTCTAATCGAAAAGCTATTTCTGAGTGCATCCAAAAAACTATTGACAATATAACAAAATAATGTACAACGTGTTTGTAGGTATTGTTAAGATGTTTGAAAATGTTTACTGGAGCAAATATCTAAATATCATAGTCTAGTCACAATACCCGTTTTTGTCTGTTTGTCAAAATCATTATTTAATCGTCTGAAGAAAGAAACATCGTTATACACATTTAACACGTAATAATTAACCTTAATTAGTAACCTTAACTAAGCCTTATATGATCAAGGGCACCTATGTAGAAGTAAAATACTTTTGGTTTCGTCCCAGTAGAACATTTAATTTAGAAGTTATCACAAGTTTAAGATTTGCGAAAGAATTTTTTAAAAATAATATAACGAAATATTAATATTTACTATTCCATTTTTAATAAAATTGTCATTGAAATCATCAAATCCTTTTGTTTCAATTAAAATCTTAGAAGATTATTCCTATTACTATGTAATATAAATGCCAAAATAACTCTGTCTGCCTGTCCGTCTGTTACGTTTCCACACCTAAACCGTTGAACCAATTTTAATTAATATTGGTATACAGATGTCTTTCTTCAGGGTTCCTGGATAGGCTACCTTCTTCTGGATCACAAATGCCGAATCTAGATCCCAACCCCGAGCCTAATCTAAAAACCACACGGTTGGAACCATGAAGTATAGGTAGGATTCGATGGCCGTAGTAACAGAGATAATGTTCAAACAAACGATGTCGCAAATAAAGCCAAACAAAAGTATATTTTTGTAATTAATGTATTTAGAATATTTTATTAATATTATATGTAGATTTTGTTGTGGTAAACACTTTATAATTCAAGGTAGAACAAATTTTCCACTTAATATATATTAATTAAAAGTTGAGACTTTTTGAATATTTATTGTTCATATTAATACACAATTATGATGAGTATAGTCGACTGTAGCAACAATTAAATCACTCTGTATTGTCAATTCCTTAAAACCCTATTCACATACCTCTTGAAGAACACCAACTTGTAGAACTAATTAAAATTTTGGTTTCCAGCAGTACCATATTCTTGTGGCATCAAATCTAGGGATCACATATCGATTAGGGTGTGTATAAATAAAAAAAAATTGGAACTACATATTTCAATTGATTTTTGGTGAATATTTTTTGGACATCATTTATACATTTCATATTTAGGACAAATCAATGTAATTTATAATGATACAGTTTCTTAACTAAAGAACTTTCTCACGGAACCTGTAAAACCTGTTTCATTAGTAGGCTGTAGTTTTAATTTATTCTGACCTGGCGCTATTCCCAATTTTAAGAACAAATAGTGAAATAAATTTTACAAACATACCCAGTTAGGCTATTTGATTTTGAATACTAAAGCTATTCTGGACTCTCATCTGTATTGAAGTAATCATACTTCAATAAAATAGATAATTACCGTATATTTATGTATTAACAGCTATGCAGTTAAAATATGTACTAACACATCCCTAGTGTGAAAAAACTTTCCTCTCGTTAGGAATGACAACGGTGAGGATAGACCCGAGTTAAAGAGTGAAATTAAATATACATTTAGAATAACATCACTTTCTAAATAATGCCTAAATTAAATGGAATCTTTGTACATATATGTCACTGTCCGTAGAGCGCTCATGAATAACTAAACGATGAAGTTATGTTATTGTCAGTATAGGAGGTATTTATTTCTTATAGACATTTAAACTTAAAATTTTATAAATGTACATACATCGTCGAATAAGACTTCAAAGACTCTTACTTTTCTATTAATTGTTCTTATACATTCTAAATAGCTTGGAAATTGTTTAGACTCATCGATGAATTTATTTGTAAACTAATCCAAAGTTTGCAGACACTTTAAAATTATTTAACAAATAAAACGTATTATTGCTAATTGTAATTTTTAAAAACCATTTAGTTTCTCTAAAGATTTTTTTCTCTGTTCCGTATTCTACAGACAAAATTTCTTTAAGAACCGAGCTGTATATGGAATGAAATTCTTATGAATTCGTATTCGCCTATCAAGTTTATCGCTCGTAGCTTGTCTGGCAATATTTTCTACTGCGTCAATAATTTTTGAAGATATGATTTCATTCTACTCTCAGGGTATGTTCCGCCTTAAATTGATATTATAGCAATATCGCCGAAAACTGTTTTTTTAATAATTTAACAGTTCAGTATACATCCAATTATTTCAATATATTGTTTGTCAATTCTTTATATTATTTATTCATTTTAGCTTACTTGTAGTATATATTTGTATTTTAAAAAAGTAGTGCTTTTCATAATAAAAAGTATTTATTTAAGCTTTTAATTAATCTAATTTCAAGCAAAAGTCATTAATTTCTAATAAGTTTAATTTAGGTAGCTGTATAACACAACATAGAAATGTTTAATTTGTTTTTAAATAACATTTGTAATAATATAAAACATACAGTTTAATTTTACTTTTTTTTTTAAATCTTCCCAAAATATAATGCCTTTTTACATGCACATATCAAGAAAAGTATTGCGATATTGGGTCAGCTGGTGAAGGTTACATTACCACTTCGATAAGAAAATGGTATGTGACAGAATAAAGTAAAAAACAGAATGAGAGAATAGAATAACTAAAGAATAAAAATAAGACTCAAATTTCAATACACGTGTTAAATTTGGAATTAACAATATTGGATGCCCCTGTCAACCAATTTATCGTGTAATAAAGATGAGGAAAGAAAAATAAGATCTAGTCATGAGAATAATACAAACAAACAATGGCTTTTATACTAATAATTAT